AACAACCTTAACAATATGCACTACTGGTCCAAATCTACCCTTAATGCAAGTAGTTTAACACCAAGACCGTTGGTCGGTAAATGTTTACGCAGGGATTCTAGGATGGCTTTTTTAATTATTTGAATGAAATGAACTATCCATAATTTCTAATAGTGATGGGTTGTTATTTAACTATCTGTTATTTTATAACAATTATTTAGAAATAACATAACGCAACCGTTACTGCTTTTAAAAAATAACAGATATAAAATAACGACACGCAGAGATCGAGTGTTCGTGAAACGAAGTCGGCGCTCTGCACCGCCACGAAATTCGATGCTGCTCGAAACAATTCCAAAAAACAACTAGTATGGATGGAAAACCTATTATTTCGACAACCATCGATACAGGCGGCGAGATACAACGGACAACGGAGTGGGGTACGCGCTACGGCGCGGCGCGTCGTGTTGGGCTGACAACAGCTTAAAAATAATAGGATATAAAAGAAGCAGCTTTTTTGAAACAGTTGCGGGCATAACGCCTGGCTGTCGAGATAACAGGAGTGGGAAAGGAGCGCTGCTGCATCGATCGATTGTCGATGGAGGCTCGCAACGGGTTGGAGAATAACGCATCAGTTGTTTTAGCTATGTTGTTTTTTTACCTGTTACGAGCATAACAGAACGGCGTTCGAGATAATCGGAGGTTTGAAACAGGTTGGAGAATAACGCGTCAGTTGTTTTAGATACATATTGTTTTTCAACCTGTTACGAGCATAACGGGCGGAGGTCGAGATATTATGGCGCTGTATGTTTCAATACTTTGTTATTAAGTTTCAATATTTAAGTATTTATTTATTCTAAAAAATTTTCAGAATAATATTTTAAGATTTTTTAAAAATGTATACAGGGTGTTTTGAAAAATCTGGTCATTGATTAATCACGATCCTGCTTAAAGCCCTTGACGTAAAAAGCTGATTTTTGGAAAACGGATTGACTTTAGGGTGTAGAGGTGCGATAAGAAGGGATTTTTCGAAACTCAAATTCTAAGTGAAACCACCCTCAAATATTAGAATATTTTTATTTAAAACTGGTGAGTTTTTCGAAAAACTCTTAAACACGTATATTTTATTTTGTTGTTTTACATATTTTGAGATTTTTACAAAATATATACAGCGTGTTTCATGAAATATGACCACTGAGTAACCACTATTCTGCTTAAACTGCTTGACGTTTAAAGCTGATTTTTGGTAAACGGATTGACTGTGGGGTGTAGAGGTGCGATAAGGAGGGGTTTCTCGAATCTCAAATTCCAAGAGGGTGAAAACGCCCCTCAAATATTACAATATTTATTATTTAAAAAACGGTTAGTCTTTCGGGAAAACGATTGGACACGCATAATTTATTTTGTTTTTTTACATATTTTGAAATTTTTAAAAAATAATACAGGGTGTTCCAAAAGTTGAGTAATTGATTAACTACGATTCTGCTTAAACTTCTCGACGTTTAAAAGCATATTTTTGGCAAATGTGAGAAAATTTTATCCAGTTTGTATGTTAGAAGAGGAGGCGTAGGTAGATCGGAATTTATAGATATAGACGAGTGGCGGTATTTTGGCTTTTATATCGCAATTTGTAAACAGCGCTTATTTGTAAACAACCCCGTTTTTAGAGAGGTATTTTAGATAACAATCGATATTTAGAAATGTTATGACACCCTGGAAATACTACCACCGAGCATGTCATTGTTGCAACTGCGTTAATACGCCTGGCGGTGACCGCCTCATATTCTTTCAGATATTTAGCAATAAAATAAAGAAACCTGTTATTTTTAAGCTGTTATTTTAAGCTGTTTTTTATAAATAACTATAACAGTTTCAACTGTTATCTAAAAATAACAGTTTTGCCCATCACTAATTTCTAAGAAATGAATTTTGTTAGGGGATCCATCATGATAAAATTGCATTTGTTGCAATTTCATCAGCATGAATGCAGTTGGTGTAGTTGAGGCAGTTATGCCGCTTATTTTGCTATGAATGTGTGGGGCTTCTTGGATACCACTTACTTCAGTAAATAGAGGCGCTGGAGAGGCATATTTCCATGCCAGCTAGGTCATCGGATTCAATATACCTGGGTTTTAATTTATGGGATCGAATCAAGAACGAACATGGATAAATAATAATTAAATGGAAATAAAATATATGTTTTGATATTTTGACGTAACCAATTTCCCTCTTTTTGTTTCCTAGCCTACTACTATAATTTTTAGACCATATAATCCTAAGCGGCAGCCTAACATAATTTGTTCTCTTAATATCTCCGGTTAGAGAGGAGATAGAAAGTTGCGGTTTGCGCTGATATTTTGGAAATTTTGTGCGCTATTTAACTGGGCAAATAGAAACATAGCCTCCTATTTAATTTTTTTATGCAAACGCGTTATGAGCAATATCTGTTATGATCAGCAAACAGCGCCCTCTAGCTACCACGAAACAAAATGTGGGAAAAAAATTATACTGGAGATCATTAAGGAAGAAAAGCTCTTTTAAACGAGCCCTAGTTTGTTTAAATCGGGTAACCTAAACCAGAGTTATCCTTATTTTAATAAAAGAAAATTTAACCTTCCCCCACGACTTTATTTTATGAAATAGAGCAAATTACTCTATATCAAAAAAAATATAAATTTCTCGATGATTATAATAGTAATATTTAAAATACCTGTTCACCTGTATATTTTTGAGAAAAACCCTGTTTTCTGATTGGCTATTAGAGAAACGCCACCTATCGGGAATTTTTCGAACTTTTTTTATTTCGAAAATAATTTCCAGCGATTTCTCTTGGTCGATTTACTACTTACTACTTACTCATTAGAATGATTTTTCCCAAAGTTATACGATAAGTAGTTTCTTATATATTTCATGTAATTCTCACTTTGATCTACATTATTAGAAATAGAGATATTGAATTGGCAAAAAAATACCATTTATTGAAAAATGTATTGTCAATTTCATTTATTTATTGAAAATGCTCATAAATATAAGAATTCGGATATAACAGAAACGAAGTCTGCTTTTGCGAATCACTTGTTGACCACAGGTCACGATTTTTCCATCTCAGGAAATGTTAATGTTCTACAGGCTTGGTGCATTCTCCGCCGGTGTTGCCACCATCAGAGAATATTGTAAACAACTAGTATATACAAATACACGGGTTTATATAGCGAATATTATTTAATTATTCTAAAAGTGTTAGGAAGTATAATTTCTGAAAATTCTAAAAATAAAAATAAAAAAGTAAATATTTTAATATATTCAGATAGTATAACTTGTAATATAATTTATTTATATTCGTATAGGCTACGCGCGGCAAAAAAGTAAAAAGCTTGATTTATTAGAGAAAATGGAAATAACTAAAGCCAAAAATTACGTTTTTAATTTGGAACCAACCTTAATTTTTAATAATCTAAAAATCTGAAAGAGTAATTCTGGCGGGTATTATTTACTTCAAAATTATTCTTTCAACAGCGGGATAGCTGAGTGGTTTTAGTTCCTACTTCCTACCCGGGAGGCCTGGGTTCAAATCCCACTATGTTTTTTTTTATTTTTAGGTTTCATTTTTATTTTTTGTTCCTTTTTGTTTTTATTAAAAAATATTCATTTTAAATTTATTTAAAACATCTAAAACTTTAACGCTCTAACGGGTGCGTCTCAAAAGCGGCTCACTCCTATAACTTTTTTACTTTTTCAGATAGTAAAACGAGATATGGTATGTTAGTATACAAGGTATCCCAGAAATAAGTGCAAGTATTTTAACTGGTAGTATAGTTCAACTCCAGGAACACGCCTAGGAGGTTTGTTACGCGAATTTTTTTTTTATTTTTTTAGTTTTTAGTTTAAAAACATAATTTCTTGATAATATGGCAACATAGGTATTAGATTAAATTTACAAGAAAGAAATCCAGAAAAGATTCAGTGGTTCTCAAAATTTTAGCAAAAAATCATTTTTTTTAATTTTCAATGTAAAATAACTCCGTTATTTTGGACTTATTTGAAAAACGATAGGGAGAAAATATGTTTCTTTTATCGAGATCTACCACCGCTTAAAATACTTGCACTTATTTCTGGGACATCCCGTATAACATAAATTAGGATTGATTGACGTATTCAATTGTTTTTGGTCACTTTTGATTTTTAAATGGCACCCTCGGTATGTTTTTACTTTATTCGATAGAAAATGTCACTCTGAATAGAATGACATGTCATATGTATGTCAACTTTTGACATTTTTGCATATGATTTATTTGAAATTATAACATGCGGTTCATAACAAAAATTTTACTCGAAATACCAAGTTTGTAGTATCAAATTATTCGTAAAAAATGCTTTATCCAAATATGCTAATGAGCCACCCTCGTTCCATTTGAAAAAATTGAGATATGATTAAAAATACGATTTGAGCATCTTTTAACCAGCCAGGACAAGACACTAAAAAGATTAAACGATCAAATCTATTTTTCCAAAGCCCCTTGATTAAAAATTAGTGTTTTTAACATAGCCATGGCACTCGAGATTCAAATTTAAAATACAATTATTATTAAGCGGGAATGTCAAAAGTTGACATGATATATCATTCTATTAAGAATGTCATTTTCTATCGAATAAAGTAAAAATATTCCGAGGGTGCCGTTTAAAAATCAAAAGTTGTAGTCATTTCCGGTGAAATAGGAAGTGACCAAAAACAATTGAATACGTCAATCAATCCTAATTTAGGTCATATGCTACCATACCAAGTCTCCTTTTTTTAGTTATAGGGGTGAGCCACTTTTAAAACGCACCCGGTATAGAATCACATTCTTTTGAGCATATGCAGTTTAATCAAAAAGAAATTATGTCAAATCGCCTTATCAAAAAATCACAGTGGAATAGACCAAAAGTCACCTCATAAACTGTCACGTCAAAGGCCATTGTGATACCATTTATTTTTCGATCATATAGTAAAAATAAATTCCTAGATTTTCTAAAAGACTTACCTTAATATCTAGTAATAATTTAAACAGTTCCTCTTGTTTTTCTTTAAGGCCGCAATATAGTAAAATCGCCTTTAAGAGACCAGTATGATTAAGTTTGATCACAAAATGCATATTTGCAATTCCAGGCAATTCTTTAATAATTTCATAGACTATGTACAAAATTTCGGCATCGGACATAAGATAACCTTTGGTAGGACTAACAATATCAAAGGCACATTCGTAAAATTCCCTAGGTAGGAAACCAAATACTTTTTTCTCCTTATATACTCGTTCGACTGCATAACGTCTGAGAAGATTTATATTATTCCAAGCGATGTACCTCGCAAATGGTACTCTGAAAATTAATTTATTCTAAAGTAAATAAGCGAATAAAATGTACTAATCTTATTGTGAAAAGATTTAGAAAAATTACACATATTAACGACGAAAATATATGTATATATACCAAACTATTTTTTGACACTTTCTACACTTTAATTTTACACGCAAATTTCACTAATCGCTTTAGTATTATCAGTAGAGAATTAAATCTCTTCAGTTATAATGTTACACTGGTTTTACTGTCACATTTTATTTAAATAATGTACTCGTAATGTTAGTAATGGTTAGGCATTAACACACACATAGGTTATTTAAACAAGTATCATACGAACGGCGCACAGTAGAACGATCGTATGTTTGATGCTGGACATAACACTTAAAATCGTATTTAAACTTTTAATACAAATTTCTTCAAATACATATTTAGAAAACCATAATTTAATCAAGTGGAAATCGAATTTTATTGAAAAATTCACCCAAAGCTATATATTATGGTATACAATATATGCGGTTCTTGTTAAAGATATTTAATATGAGGGAAATTTATAGAGCAAATTATGGATTAAATAAATGACTTAATTCATGTGCCCCATACAAAAGTTTTAGGCCATATTTTTACGAATAATTTAAAAGAAATTTTGAAACACTTGGGTGCTATTATTATTATATATATTTAACTCTATTCTCCGTGAAAATATACATTTTTCAGCGAAATTTATTATAGGTTGCGTCTTTCTTTCGTAATTATCAAAAAGTCCCACCGAGTCCCGATTATTTGTTGGTGGGTATGACTTCTCTATTTTATGCTAAACTTATGAATACAAAGTTTTCTTGCAGCCGCTTGCAGCAAAGATGGCTATGGAAAATTTTGTTTAAAATTTATTTTTTTGTGATACACTATACAATAATTAAGACTTTCAAAATTTAAAAAAAAAATAGAAAAAAACAACGCTTTATTGTACAAAAAGCCAAAATAGCTTCATCGACAAAGCACAAAAACAAATATACAAATAATAAAAAAATGTCATACAATACAAATCAATTAAAAAAAAAATTACGTCATAAAATTATAAATAAAACATATATGGACATTTTACAAAAAGAAAACTGTAAATGGATAAAATCATGTTATAATAACATAAAATCAAGAGTTATAAAATATTAAATACTAGACCTTTAACCAGTGTGTGAGATGATCAAAATATTAAAATTAAAATTCTAAATTGTTCATGATTAACCATCAACAAAAAAGTCGTTTACCGCATATAGGACTCTCTCCAGTAAGTATGATTTCAGAGCTTTGCGAAATGCGGGAAGGAATGAAAGTGACTTGATATGCGAAGGCAAATGATTGTACATTTTCTTGGCATTGTACAGTATTGAGCCCTTAACTAGTTCTGAGCTCGGGGTTGGCAGATAAATATCGTGCTCCGCATTCCTAAGTGGATAGTTGTGAGAAGGCCTTTCCGGAATAGAGAATATGTGCTTGCGGATTAAGCAAACGGATTCAAAAATGAATAAGGAAGGAAAAGTCAGTATTTTGAAATTTTTAAAGAAATTCTGGCAGTGAGTTCTACTGTTTAGTCCCAATAAGTATCGAACTGCTCTCTTTTGAAGTTTGAAAATACGATCAAATTTTGTCGCGCAGCAAGTACCCCAGAATGGAAGGGCATAACGAAGATGCGACTCAAAAAGGGCATAATAGACCATTCTAGAGGTTGACGAGTTAAGTTCCTTAGACACTGATCTTAGCGCAAAACAGGCAGAGCTTAGTTTCTTTGATAAGGCTTCGATGTGCAAGTCCCATTTTAACGAGTTGTCCACAACAAGTCCTAAGAATCTCACAGAGTCCACGACGTCAATAGTGATGTTATTAAGTACAAAAGGTTGTATAGTACTTTTATATGACAAAACTTTAGTTTTTGAAAGGTTGAGGCATAGGATATTAGAATCGCACCAAGATTTAATGGTGCGTAAGTCACTGAATATAGTATCATATAGTGCCGTAACATCTGGGCCGCTCCAAGTGAAACTAGTATCGTCCGCAAAGAGGCAGATTTTACCGCTAATGTCCAGATTTGCAATGTCGTTGATAAACACTAGAAACAAAATAGGGCCAAGTACTGAACCCTGAGGGACACCACATTCTATAGGCTTACAAGAAGACATAGACGTATCAATCCTCACAAGCTGCCTTCTGTTGCCAAGATACGACTTAAGCCATTCGAGCGGCACTCCCCTGAATCCATAGTATTGCAATTTGTTAATTATGATATTATGATTTACACAGTCGAAAGCCTTAGAGAAATCACAGAAAATTGTAGCTATAGAGTGATGGTTATTCAGGCTAGAGTATACATTATTAAAAAGGTCGAATATAGCATCATTTGTGCAACTGTTACTTAGAAATCCAAATTGATGGGTAGAAAGTACTTTATATTTAAAGAGAAAAAATAGAAGCCTTTTTTAACCAATCTTTCAATGATCTTAGATAATGTGGGCAGGAGAGCAATTGGGCGATAGTTTGAAGCTTGATCTTTATCTCCTCCTTTATGCAGAGGAATAATTATTGCTGTCTTAAGGCAGTTTGGAAAAACTCCTTTTTGGAATGACTCATTAATTAAAGTAGTAAGATAGATTAATGTGCATTCCGGAAGTTCAGAGAACATTTTGAGAGTAAGCCCATCAGTCCCAGATGAGAATTTATTTTTAATACTTTTAATTGTACTACGGAGCTCATCTAATGCTACGGGCGTGAGAAAAACTGTGTAAATTCTCATTTGCTTTAGGGAGATATGAAAGTGAATCATGAGAAGGAGTTATGGTGTTCACTAAATTTTTAGCCACATTAACAAATAAGTGTTTAAATCTTCAGGTGAATTAAAGACTGTGCCAGACGAAGAAGTCTTATTCCTTAAGTCATTTACAATAGCCCAAGTCTCTTTGGCAACATTACCGGATTTGGCTAGCCTCCCATTATAATAAATGAATTATTGTTATTGAATACATGTTGGTATTGAAGAACTGGACAAATCGCAAGGTCATAAATCATATAGAATAAAAATATGATAAAAAGTTCATTAAGTTTTGGAATAAGTATGAGATTATGCAGTTTAATTTGTAATAGTCAATTTAATATGGAAATTCAAATAAAATATATATTTTGAAAAAAACACCCCTGCAGTATTCAGTAAGTTATCTATAATAAAGTTATGACTATTTTTAGCAAATTTGAAGATTTTTGAACACATTTATTCAAAAAAATGTCTTAAGTAAGAAATTTGGCATAATTGCTGAATGTCCAGCAAATCGCATTGGGTCGATCCACTGTACGGCGTTAAAGGAATAAAAAAACGGCGTTAAAGGGGATGGGAAACTATAGATAATAATTTTGGCACAAGTCAAGCCCTAGACGTCAATTACTTAGCCCAAAGTATTTTAGTGAATACTTGTGGACTGTTATTCAAACATCTGTTCACGATACTTAACCAAACCAAACCAAAACAAACGATTAGCAAGTACAGCAACATACACCTTATAAAAAAGTTTATAGTTAAGTGTGTTAACATATTAACACAATTAATTATAAACTTTTTTTTTAATTTTCATAATACTGATATAACTCATTTACGATTTTTCCTAAATTAAAACCAAATAACATAACGAATTTAAAAAAGGTAATTAAAAAAGGTATCTTGGTAAAAATCGGTAGGGGTAACAGTTCTCAAGTTATTTAGAATGAAAATAGTCAATACACGTCATTATTGACAAAAAATAAACATATTGAATAGATAGTTATTTGACTCAAATGATAAATTTGGGAACTTTTTATTTTTTTAAATTAATCATAAATTTTTCTTCAAAAAAATGATAATAAAACAATTTCTGTTGAACTATTGGCACGAAAACATTTCAAATTTATGATTTCAGTCTAATATCTATTTAGCCAACATGTTTAATTTGTGTCAATGATGACAGTTATTAATAATTTAGATTCCTAATATCTAGAAAACCATTACTCGTAGCGATTTAGAGACCTTTTTTAAGTAAAAAACGTCGTAAATGTATATTTTTTACTCAGTAGTTATATACAGGTGCGAACGAAAAGTTATTAGTCTTGAAACCAGTTAAAAAAATATGTAGGTGACACCCACAAGTAGGAGTCATATTGACATCAGAATCAAAGTTCTCGTGTCAAAAAAACTCCCAGACACCAATTTTCATCCAAATATTTACGTTACTTCAGAAATTATTTGGAAAAAATCACAATAAAAATGAAACTTCTACACCCTGTATCTTCGAAACTAAGAATTTTGGGATATGCGTACTTTTTACTTATTTTTTATCTGCAGAATATGCTACCAAATTTTCCGGAATACGGTTCAGACTACCCTGTATAGTTATATAATTATAAATAACAACAATAAAATTCCACATACCTGAGATCATGTGGTAGCAATACAATATTACCAAAATGGGTCATTAATTTGACACAAGATTCAATTTCCTCATAATATTTACTTTTAGGCATTAACAAAGGTGTAGCCAAATTTTGACCTCCGTGTTGTTTAAATATCTATAACAAATAAGAAAAATAACCATACTGCAAGTTATGCATTGTTTTTTAAAGTACATATAACCAATATCCGCTACATTTTCTACAAAGTTGCGATACACAAGTTGTTATTCCATGTTTATATAATTTATTCAGAATATAAATATGCTATGTTAAAGTCCAACCAGTCACAAGATTTAGACAGACGACATCCAAAAAATGTCAGAAAATACAATTTACCTGTAAATTAAAATGACCAACTATCACGTATACTCGTTGTACCGACTTTAGATATACTAGTCCTGGCTAAAAGTTTACCACGAAAAATTAGAATTATATTCTTACCTTAATACAAACATCTCTTACAAACTCATAGAGATTCAATGGCTTCGAAAGACTGGGAGCAGTCGGATCTCTGTCGTACGTAATGTCTTGCGCAAGCGTAATAGTTTGCTTGAAACAAGAGGATATAAGATATCGATATCCTAAAAATTATCCGATAACAAGAATGACTAAAAACGCATTAAGCTGAAGATAATGTCCATACCTTTTAACTGGGGATTACTTAAAGTGTGTCTCACTAATTCCTGTAATTCCCTTTCTTCTAATACTGGGGGCGGGAGATATTCAGACTGTAACAACTCCTGCGATGTAGGTCTATTCGAAATATCGTGATTCAATAACCATCTAAAATAATTATAAAACTTTTTTTACATAAAGTAGCAATAAGTTCCAAGTTTGTATAACATGACAATAAATTATAAATACCAATATAAAGATTGTTCAGCGATCATTCAGCGTTACGTCATCATTTGTAAAAAAATCGTTTTAGGGTGTGTCTGAGATCAATTCATATAATTTAGAATTTGTTTTCTTACAAAATGTCTGTATGTTTAAAAAATACACAAATTTTGTAAGATATTTTTAAAAGCGTCATTCCAATTTGAATGATATTTGGGGTGCCTATGTTTTGCCAAGTACTTTAACATTCGACTTTCACAAAAACCAAGAAAAAGTACGGGAAAGGTAAAAACTACCCACACCGCTACATAAATTTTATTATAAATATTTTCCAATTCCACCAATCACAGATATTTTTTTTTCATAAAATGGTCCTTCTAGTATTTACTACATTTTTTGTCTCTTGTAAAAAAACGCCACCACGCATACTTCTTGAGGAGAAAAATATTTTTCCGAACCTGACTTCCAAAAAAGGTTTCTTGTCTCATAATATGTAGGCCCATAAAATTTACTATGTGCTAATAATCTAGTTGGCGAAAATATGGAAGGAAGTAGTAAAAATATAGTAAATACTAGGAGGACCATTCTAGGAAAAAAAAATCAGAGATTGGCGGAATTGGAAAATATTAAATTTATACTAAAATTATTTCTTTTTCGTGATTTTTATGAAAGTCAAATGTTAAAGCGCTTAACAAAACATAGGCATCCCCAATCTCATTCAAATCGGTTCTTAAAACACCTTAAAAAATGTGTTTATTTTTTTATTTTAAAGTTTGGTGCCCTCTTCATAAATAAGTCATAATATAATAATAGGTCAATAAATAAAAAGATTAAGAAAGGAGTTATTATTTTTATATTATTACATTAGATATGAAAAGAAAGTAACCATTAGTATGCTAATAGAGACCGTGGCCTAATTTCATTTTTATAAAAGAACTTATATTGTATTGCTTATTGCTTACTTAATTAAAAATCGAGCTCTGTCATTGTCATCAAAATCCGATGGAAAGCCAACATCCTTCATACGTAATTTATTGAGAATTTTAATCCTCTCCATTCCAGTATCTAGCGGTTTATAGCACATTTCAAATAATATTATACCTACAAATAAGTATTGTATTATATCAACATATTACTAATAATGTATACCGATTTGGTCATTTTAGAAGTGTGGTCTGGATTTTAACGTAAACAGCTTAAATGAAAAATCAGATGTATTAAAAAGAGATAAAAGTTAGGTTGCTGTTCTTCTATACGATATTGCCAGATTTTACATCAAAAGTTCAAACCGCACAAGTAGGCGTTTATGGAAAATGTTGCATCTAGGGTTGGAACCCTATTTTTCACTATTAGTTACTCATTTTACTACAGATGTAATACCGTATGACCGAAAAAACAACAAATATATATTTTCTACAAACTTATATTTCCTACAAACTTAAAAACAAACGTAAAAACCGGCAACGCTGTATGTGGTTTTTTATTTTGTCTCTCTGTCTGTCAACCGGTCATTTATATTATTCTCTGTTTTACACGTTAAAATCCAGACCACACTTCTAAAATGACCAAATCGGTATAAAAGCCTGGTAGAAATGACAGGACTGACAAAAACAGGGACTGGCTCCTTGCTTTACATTTTAACGCGTAAAACAAAGTACAGGTAGTTGCCATATAATGCCATATGACGAGTTGATGGTTAAAAACAGAAAAGAAGTTTCTCAACTAAAACTTTTCTTCGCCCAAATTAGTCTTACCAACCTCTCGAAAGACACATAATTGTATTTTAAAATACAATTATCTACATAATATGTAGCATTTTATATATTATATAAAATGCTAATGTTTATCTGTGTCGTCTCTACTGAAGTAACGATTTGCTCTAGAAAGTTGCTTTTTTTACTAAAAGATAGCTAATTGGTTCTTCTAAAAACTGTCGTCGCCGGATTTTTTGTTTTTCAATTAATTAAAAAAAAACAACTTAAAACTATTTTTTTGCTTGCTAATATTAAACTTAGCAAATTTTGCTAAGTTTCAATAGAACTCACAGCCCGACCTGTTACATAAGACCAGCGAATATCTAAATAAGGACGCGAATTTCCATGAAAATGAACGTAAGTCGACAGGTCTGGTTGTGAATAGAACACTTAAAATTTCAAAATATAAATTTAAATATTTGCAAAAAAGAAAAATTTACTTATTTGTATTAAATATTATGTATAATAAATTATGTTAATATTTCGAATGCAAACATTCACATATAATTTCGACTCGATTATCGCGATTATTTAGTTGCAGAAGTGAAAACGATTTATTCTTATAAAGCCGATCGTCCGACTATTTCATTGCATATGTGTTCAGCTTCATAATAATATATTGGTTTCAATTCCGCAACAAAATAATCGACCAAAAAAAACAAGCTTAAAAACAACTTGCTTAAAAAATAAGTCAGGTATCAAGAGAACTAAATAAAAATTTCACAAATTACAGATTACTAATTAAATTAAATTATAGATATATACAATATATTGTTTCAAATATGTGCATATTTGAAATATGCAAATTTTTATTTGCATACATGCATCGCGAAGCGAGAAGATATCGGCATCCGCTTGTAAAAAATTACTGTAAATTCAGAAGACACCGCTTACCTAAACTGTAAATGTCCACTTTTTGATTATAATTAGCTTTGCCTGATGAATTAATTTCAGGTGCGATATAAAGAGCAGTTCCAATGTGGCCAGTTTTACTTTCATCGGGCATGTCTTCTTTCAAACTCTCGGCTTGGCTTTTTGTAACACCTAAAGATATGAATACTGGTAGCTTTAGAGCATAAGAGAAGCTTCAAAGCTTATTTAATAGTAGGGTAGCTTCTACAAAATTTCGCCTTAAGTTTTTCTTGGAAAAGTTGTATAAATACACCTTTTATTAATATAGCTAGTTTTATTTTTTTTAAAATGTTGTTTATCTTATTTTATTTACAAAAAGAAATTCAAATTGTGACTACTTTGGCAGATCGCGGCCCCACAATAACAAAATAATTCATACATACCAAAATATTCGCCTTGTCTGGAGCGCATCGCAATTCGAATTGTAGTAGCAAGACCAAAATCTCCAATTTTTACGTGATCAGAATAATCCAAAAAAATGTTTACTGGCTTCAGATCTCTATGAATCATACCTTGTTGATGAATGTGCGCTAAACCTAATATAAAAAGAGATGGAAATATTACAAAACATTAAGAAATTAAGAGGTAAACTAATACATAAATACATTTTAGGCGTAACCCAAAATAAAATTTAGTCCAGGCAATCATCAAATATACAGAGCATCAAAAAAATAGTGTATCTAACTTCGGTGAGTGATTCTACAGATAACAACAAAACAAAAAGTTCCTATAGATATATGCCCTAAAATGGTTCGCGAAGAAGTTACCAACACTCAAAAGAGTAAATAAATAGTATATTATTCAACGAGCATATAGTTCAGTAATATTATGGCTCAAATTGCGATATATCTGACAAAATTCATAAAGTTTTCAAAATTGGTGAAAATAATCAGGACATCATATGTATTAATAAAGTGAAAAATTCCCACCCCTAAATAGTGTGCGTCATCCCCCAGGGCATCGTTTCTACCCCCATTTTGAGTTTTTTTAGATAATCTCGGCAACGGTGCAATTCTATTAAAATAAAATATAAAATATATAAAATTGTTCTTCATAAAATTCTCTATCAAAAAGATAATTACACTTTTTTTTCTAAAGTTAATAATAAAGTGGATAATAGGGCGCAAATATAAGGGTTAGTTATGACTAGCACTATCAGCAGTTCTTGCAGTTCAATCTAATTTAAAGTTTAATGTTTAACGCTAACAAAAAGCAGTAACCACTAAATTATACTTAGAATTTTAATATACGTTCTTCTCTCACACTCCTCTGCCCCTATAAAAAGGGTGATTTGTACTTAGTTCCACATTACAGAGGTATTTGATGCGTTTTTTTTAAAGTAGGCCTAATCCACTAATTATCAAATGTTAAAGGTGGGATTTTTTTTAAAAGTTTAAAAGTGCGTCGTGCAAATCGTGTAAAGCCGACATCTAGTTTGAGCAATACAATGAAAATGAATGGCAATGATGTTCAAGTTGACTCAACATTACTATTTCAAAGAATTATTTGCACCGTTTATTCTAGTCTGGAGTTAAAAAAGTGCTTTAGTTTCGAATTAGCTTCAGTACCTCTCTTTTCGATGCGAAAGGCCTAATGAGGAAAACTAATAAAGCAGCTTGATACCAGATTGTCAATAAAGTTCCAGAACGAGACCATATTTTTGAAAACAGCGAGTATGTCATTGATCGAGGATATTTGCTTCGCCGTAATATGGCCAAAAAAAGGGACATTTAACATTGTTTACAACGCTTACGTTAGTTACATTAAAAACATTATGGAAATAGAGTAACTGTCTTGTTCGATGGTTATATGAAAAATGCAAACAGCACGAAGGGCCTAGAACGACAGAGGCGGCTACTTCAAAGAAGCTGTCCCTAAATTATATTTGACGAGAATACTGTTGTCTCTGAAACTCAGCAGAACTTCCTAAGTAATTTGTTTAACAAAGAACGTTTAATCATAGAACTAGTAAACAAATTTAGGAAAGAAGGTATAGAAGTATAAGAAGTATTTGTTGCTGCGGATGACGCCGATTTATTAATAATTCAAGAATGTCAAACAAAGAGCCAGCCCCCGCATCTGTGTTAACGCTTATTTCCTGTTCATGCAAATTAGGGTGCGAATACAAATGTAGCTGCAGAAGAGCAGGCTTGCGTTGCTCTACAATGTGTTATCATTGTCATGGACAGTCATGCTTGAATGTTGAACCTGTGGAAGATGAGGAAGATTACTAGTTAACATTTGATAATTAGTGGATTAGGCCACTAGGGGATACCACTTTAAAAAAAACGCATCAAATACTTTACCTCTAGGGTGAAAATAAGTACAAATCACCCTTTTTATAGGGGTAGAGGAGTGTGAGAGAAGAATGTATATTAAAATTCTAAGTAAAGTAGTATAAAAATATAAAGTATAATTTAGTGGTTACTGCTTTTTGTTAGCGTTAAACATTAAACTTTAAATTAGATTGAACTGCAGATAGTGCCAGTCATAACCAACCCTTATATTTGCGTCCTATTTGCCACTTTATTATTAACTTTAGAAAAAAAGTGTAATTATCTTTTTGATAGAGAATTTTATGAAGAACAATTTTCTATATAGGTATTTTGTCGAGAATTATACCATTGCCGAGATTATCTAAAAAATCAAAATGGGGGGTAGAAACGATGTCCTGGGGGGTGACGGACACTATTTAGGGGTGGGAACTTTTCGGTTTAGTAATCCTCATGCTGTCCCCAACATACCTATCAATTTTCAAAACTTTCTGAATTTTGTCGGGTTTAAATCGTAATATTACTGGATTAATATAATGGTGGCTGTTATTCACGCGGATGAAGTTTCGTTATATTTCCTCGACTTATACCGAGGATGTCCAGGAAGTGACCAAAAAGAATTGAATACGCCAATCAATCATAAATTATGTCATATACTAACATACCAAATCTAGTTTTTTTTTTATCTGAAAAAAACAAAAAACTCATAGGGGTGAGCCACTTTTAAGACGCACCCGGTATAGAGGGTGGCCCAGCGAGGAAGTCTAATATCGTCGTCGTTGTCGAAGATATCAAAAAAGTTTTATACAGGTGTTGCATGGTTTATAATGGGGCATATTCTAAAAATATTTTTTTTGTATACCTGTCTGTTTAACTGGTAGTATAAATACCGAGGCCCAGTGCGCAAGAGGACAGACGTTAAGTTACGGCCAATGGGTATCTTAAAGCCGGCGCTAAATACATTCAAAATAAATTAGAGAAATAGTTGTAAATAAGTTTGATAGTTTTTAAGTATACTCTGTTTTTTTTTTTCTCAGGTAAGAATTCGACAGATGACAGAAGAAAAGCAGATAACGTCCCATACCAATCTATTTTACTAAACAATTTATTTTACTAAAAAAAGTTTCTAATATTTTTTAAGTTAACTATGTAAAAAAATCCTAAAAGAAAAAAAATTTTTTTTTTCAATTTTTACTAGACATATTAAATCCGATTGCAAATAACACCGATTGATACATTAAAAACACACCACACTTTATAGAAAAAATTTCAAAAATTAATATAACACCTGACAGTTTAATGGTTAGTTTTGACGTTGTTAGTCTTTTCACTAACGTGCCGGTAGATAAATCACTTAAAATAGTTAGGGATAGATTAGAACAAGATACACATTTAATAGATAGAACAAAATTAAACATAGATAGTATTTTGGAATTGTTGACACTTGTTAAAACTACTTATTTCCAATTAAATAATGCATTTTTTCAACAAGATTTCGGTATGGCAATGGATCACCTGTCTCTCCTTTGTTAAGTAATATTTTTACGGAAGATTTTGAAAATAATACCATAAATAGTTTTTCAAAAAAGCCTGTAATATGGCTGCGTTATGTTGATGATATTTTTGCAATATGGCAACATAACGTTTCTGAAATAGACATTTTCTTGGATTATATAAATTCTCGCGAATCTACCATAAAATTTATATTAAAAGTAGAGAGAGGTAATCGTTTGCCATTTCTTGATGTTTTAGTGTCAAAGTTTCAAAATAAACTAATTTTAGATGTTTACAGAAAACCCACAAACACAGATAGATACTTAAATTTCACATCTAATCACAGTATAAGTGTAAAAAAATGTGTGATAAAAGGTTTATATGATAGGACAAAAATAATATGTACAGACAACATTTCATTAAATAGAGATATAAACCACATAAAAAATACATTAATCAAAAACGACTATCCACCATATTTTATTGACAAAACATTAAACGAAATACAAGCCCCAAATCATAGACACAATGATAACAATACACAATATATATACAACTTACAATTCCATACACACGAGGCGTTTCGGAAAAATAAGAAGGATAGGAAAACAATATAACATACGAACATCTTTCAAAACACAAAATACACTTAGATCCATTTTATCACATACTAAACCAATCAATACAGAACAACAAACAAAAAATGTAATATACCAAATACCCTGTGAATGCGATAAATTTTACATTGGTGAAATATCTAGACCCTTAAATGTCAGAATTAAAGAACATAAAGATTATTTAAGAAAGGGAGATTTTCACAAATCTAAGATTTGTCAGCATTCTTGGGACACAGAATAAATTTTAATAACGCCAAAATTATAATGAAAGAAGCGATAGCCTCTAAAAGAAAAATAAAAGAGGCTTTTTTAATTCAATCTAATAAAAATAAATGTATTGCTCATGCATCTGTAGATGTTAGTAATGTATGGCAATCGCTTCTTTGATTTTAAAGAACATAACATAAATAAACATAACATACGTAAAATTTAAAAATAATCATAGAGAAAGTTTGGGCTTTTTGGTTTTACCTTATTAAGTAATTATCAGGTAGTAATTGTTAATTTTGAAGTTTAACTTAATATAATGTCATTTTAACAGAACGTCAACGATTTCTTGTAGACGTATCTGTTTTAAAAAGTAAAGTGTTCTCGAATAGTTCAATTTAAATATTTTAAATAGTTTTTTCTTTGATTCTTTATATTTTTTTTGCTCCGACGACGGAAAGAGAAAACTTTCCGAAACGTTAAGCATTTTTTTCTTTGTTAGGCAAATTTTTATTACTGTAAACACAACTTCTGACAAGCAGCGTCCGTTTAGGTTTAACGCCCAGAAGTGTTTACAAAAAATAACTATTTTATTTTGTAGATTTTTCTTGCAGTGCAGTGGCGAAAAACCCATAAGGATTTTTTTGGATAGATGAATCCGCCACATAGGTATAGACATTTTTTAAGTTAACTATGGAAGGGTTAAGTTAACTATGGATGGTTTTTTTTCAATATTAGATCTATGAACACCAATGAAAAAATTAACGAACTGGAAGACGAGCTCTCAAGAATAAAATGGGACATCTTAGGTGTGTCAGAGACTCGACGAAAATCAGAAAACCGAATAGATCTAAATTCCGGTAACCTACTATACTATAAAGATAACGAAGAAAACACCAATTTCGGAGTAGGATTTATAATAAATAAAGGCATAAAGAAACACGTCGAAACTATTCGAATCTCAGATCGTGTTGCCTATCTCATACTAAAAATGAAAAGAACATCGCTTAAAGTAATCCAAGTGTATGACCTACGATGACGAGCACATCGATTTATTCTATGAAGATATTTCAAAGGCTATGGAAGAACATAAAACTCGCCTTACGTTAGTAATGGGAGATTTCAATGCCAAATTAGGTAAAAAAAATAACATAGAAGAAACTAAAATAGGGGATTTTGGATATGGAGAAAGGAATGATAGAGGCACGGCCTTAATGAATTACCTAGAGGAAAAACACCTATACGCAATTTTATAAGAAGAAACCGCAACGAAAATGGACATGGCTCAGCCCTAATGGAGCAACGAGAAACGAAATTGATTATATACTAACTACTGAGAAAAAGATCGTTAGGGATATAACAGTCCTAAACAGCTTTGCAACAGGCAGTGATCACAGAATGATCAGAGCAAAAATATCTACTGATAGTAATTTCGAAATGAAAAAGAAAATTAATAGCAACCACGAACAACTGGACATGAATAAACTTGCAGAGAATAAAACCACTTATAAAGAAATGCTAAAGGAACAGTTAGAACAAACCTTAAGAAGTGAAAATGGGGAACGAAACAAACGATACACTGACAAGAGCGATGAAGAAAGTAGGAAAAGAAGTCGCACAAAAGGGCAAAAAGAAAGAAAATTACATCTCAGAAGATATAAAAAATCTCATGGATAAAAGGCGTAAGCTGAACAAAGAAGGAAAAAGGACATCGATGGAATACACAGGGATAAATAAAACCATAAGAAAAATGATAAAAGAAAATAAAAGAAAAAACCAAGAAATACAAATTGAGAGAGTAATAGAAAATAACAAAAGTATGAAATGTCTAAAACCCACTCTAGGTAGATTCGAAATAAATAAAATAAAGAACAGGAACGGCATAGAAACTAACATTAAAGATTGCATTATATAAATCACAGAGATGTTCTATACAGAACTATACGAAACAAAACGGGAACCGCCGGTAGACACCGTAAAGAAACTCCAAACAAAAATAAGAAACGTAAACTCAGAACTACAACCTGAAATAAGCAAATCGGAAATAAAGAGAGCATTGAAGAAAATGAAAAACAACAAATCACCTGGAAAAGACGGAATAACAACATAAATGCTAAAGTACGGCGGAAAAGCTGTAGTTAATACTCTTTATATTCTCCTGAATAAAATCCTCATAGAAAAAATAATCCCAAACGACTGGAAGGAATCCATAACCATCATCCTACATAAAAAAGGTGATAGGGCAGATCTACAAAACTATCGTCCTATAACACTCCTTAACGTAATTTATAAGTTCTTCACGAAAATATTAACCGATAGACTAACAACAAAATTTGACGGATACCAAGCAAAAGAACAAGCAGGCTTCAGAAAAGGATACAGTACGGTTGACCACTTATTAACTATGAAAATACTAATAGAACGAGCCAACGAATACAACTTCCCACTATATATATTGCATTTGTAGATTTTGAAAAGGCTTTTGATAGTATTGAGCACTGGGCAGTTAAAACTTCGTTAATAAATAGCAGGATAGACTACAGATACGCAGACTTAATAGCCAACATATATAGCGAAGCAACAACAACAATTAAAATCCACGAAGGAACAAAGCCAATTCGCATAGGAAGAGGTAGACAGGGTGACACAACATCCCCTAAACTCTTTAATCAGGCATTAGAAAACGTTTTCAAAAATTTAGACTGGGAAGAAAAAGGTATCAAAATATGTGGACAATACTTGAATCACTTAAAATATGCGGATGATATCGCCTTAATAACAGAAAAGAAAGAAGAACGGGTAGAAATGCTGGAAGAACTGGATACAGCAGCTAGAAGAATAAGCCTAAATGTGAACTACACTAAAACTAAAGTCATAACAAACACCGATGAAAACATAACAACCAGAAGAAACCAAGAAAAAATAGAACAAGTTGAAGTATATATATATATATATATATATATATATATATATATATATATATATATATATATATATATATATATATATATATATATATATATATATATATATATATATATATATATATATATATATATATATATATATATCTGGGACAAATGATTAAACTGAAAAGAAAACCAAACAGCTGAAATAAAGAGACGAGTAAGACTGGCCTGGGCAGCATTTGGAAAATTAAGTTACATATTAAAAAACAAAAGATATCCAAAGTACCTCAAAACCAAAGTATATAATCAATGTGTACTCCCTGTACTTACTTACGGATCCCAGACCTGGACATTGACAAAATCAAATATGGATAAGGTACTCAAAGATCTATGGAAAGACATGTAAGGCTGGCAGATAGAAAAAGGAATGAGTGGATCAGAGGAAAAACTAAAGTAAGGGATGTTAGAAGTGAAGTAGCAAAACTGAAATGGAAGTTTGCCGGTTTACAAAGTCAGACAAAAGGATGATCGATGGAACAAATGCATCGTGAACTGGAGGCCCTGCGAGAATAGAAGAAGTAGAGGAAGACCTCAGATGAGATGGGCGGACGATCTGAGGAAACATGCAGGCACAAGATGGATGAGCACGGCGACAGAGAGGGAAGAGTGGAAGAGATTGGGGGAGGCCTATGTCCAACGATGGACCGAAGAGGCTGAATAGATAGAGATGGATGGGTTTAAATATAAATACGTCATGCATCGTCTCTTGTTGTTTTTAAGCAGTTTTATTGGTTTATTTCAAAAATGACAGATCATATTTCAATTTTATTGGTTTGACGGAACGATGAACGACAAACGGACGTCGCGCGTCGATGCGTATGAACTCGCCTTTTTTGGGGCTTTTGTCAACTTATGCCAAATATCTGCGTTTTGAAAGATGATGCATTTTGATTCCTGTTATTTATTACATGTTTTGTGTCTTTTGAAGTCAAGTGGACAAAAAATCTAGGGAAAATTAACTGTAGACCCAGAGCACAATTTATAGTTAACACTCGCTGCCCAAGCAGAAAGTCTTATACACCAATAAAGTTACCATCAATAAAGTTTGTATACCATCTCATCGTAGATAAGTGCGTCTCCTATATGGTACAAGGATTGTACTAAACATATACTATTAGTATTTTAATAAAACACGCTTTTAGATGTATCAAAAAACTTTTAATAAGAGTAACTTTAACTCTACATATATGTTTCGGCTTGTTAGGCCTTTTTCAAGAGTTTTTTAAGAACTAATCGTCTAACTACACTGTAACTATATATATATTTGCTATGGGGGTGGGTTCAGAGAGTTTACAATAGGGGTAATAAAAAATGTGTTTAGAAATCCTTGTTGGTCGTTAACATTATTTTACCAACAAGGATTTCTAAACACATTTTTTATTACCTCTATTGTAAACTCTCTGAACCCACCCCCATAGCAAATATATATATAGTTACAGTGTAGTTAGACGATTAGTTCTTAAAAAACTCTTGAAAAAGGCCTAACAAGCCGAAACATATATGTAGAGTTAAAGTTACTCTTATTAAAAGTTTTTTGATACATCTAAAAGCGTGTTTTATTAAAATACTAATATTTCAACGATGTTTTACAAGGAACCAACCACAGCTTCAGTACAATTTATTAAACATATACTACTGGAGTAGCTGTAAAATAGCTACCACACGATAGGTAAATAATGGATTTTAGTACTGCAGAAAAATAATGTCAAAAGGTACTGGTTTAAAAAAATTAAGATTAAAGTTAAGTAATCAACATTTAAAGTATAAAATTTGGTAAGTGTTATTATTAATAAAATAGTTTGTTTTATTTATGTTGTTTTATTTATTCCTGTGGAATATTACAAATTTGTATTTGTACATAAGTTATATTGATAAATATAATTTTTTTTTTCAGTTTTATATAGTTTTTTTCACAATCTTCTTTGTAAAATAAAATAAACTATTTTGAAATTAAAATGACAGACACATCTATCACTGTCAAGGATCTTGTCGTTGGACAGACTATAGTTTCTTGTTTTGTTATTCGTTAGCGAAAAAATAAATTGTATTAATGACTTTAATTAAATTAACCACACGGAACTGAGTAAAAACGTAACATTATTAAAAAATACTGATACTTTCCAGGCAAATAATAAGAATTGTTCGATATATCTCACCTTCAACAATCTCCCTGAATAACCTCCATACTCTGTCTTGGTCCAAATACAGATCACGATCGATTGCAGTTCTCAAAGTACTCTTTTCACAAAATTCCATTTGAATATACAGATAATCGAGTTGTAAAAGTATGTCTTGAGAGCTATCATTAACAGGACCTGCAGTTGACTTAGACAGACTGGCTGTTTTAGACTCGCTAGTTTTAGACGACTCGGCATCAGATCCTCTGTCAAATTCGATACTGTCCGAATCGGAGTTTGTAGTACTAAATCTAATAAAAAAAGTAAAAAAAAGTTTTAAAGGTATATTTTAGCTAATATATCTCCGTAAATATTGGTTTAAGAAAAAAAAATTAGAAGTTTTAGAATTTCTCAAGAATTCCATTTTTTAAATAGAATGCTCTATATCCAATTCTCCAGTTAGTTAAATAAATATACTTCTGATTTCCAAAATACAGGGTCGCTGATATGTATGAGAACGGTCGATTATTAGGTAAAATATACGAGGTACCGCAAAAAGCTAAATATAAAAGGGGTTAATAATATAAAATAGGGTTCACCTACTACCATACCAAATCTCGTTTTTTTTTATCTGAAAGAAATAAAAAATGCATAGGGACGTTTTGAGAAACACCCGATATACTAGTTAAGCTAGTTAATAAGTTTAGCATACTAGTCTTTTCACATAACTTAACCACAGATGCAGTAATTTTTGATTGTGAATAAATAATTGTACGTTGCGTTGTTTATTGTTAGAAGTAATTACTATGAGAAAAGTTAGAGAAACTACACCAAACAAAAAAAGACAAAGCAACTGCATATTTTTTCCAAATAAATAAATAAATACCCAAAATAATATTTTAAAAAGAGAAAACACAAAAATAATGAAACTTACTTTATAACAGGGGATTTTGAATAAGCATCATTACTAGAATCATCGTCATCGTCCTCATCATCATCGTCAGAAGAAGAAGATTCATCATAAGGAGCTTGAGATTTACTATCGTAAGTTATAGAGATTTCCACATTCTTCATAGGAGGCGCTAATCTCTCTATGTCGTCATTTAAAGTAAACTAAAATGTACCTTAGTCAATTATTGTGCTCTTAGCCAATAATAAACAAACAAATCAAAACCCCAACAGAAACTGCAATAACGCAACTAATTAACCAATGATAAAATGGAGTTGGTATAATTTGTCCAACAAAAAGATATATGAGGGTGACAGCTCATTTCTATCAATAAAATTCAAAGATAAATTATTATTGAATGTTGTAAAGAAGACGTTAACTTAACACATTAATTTTTTAGGTACATACTAAGTTTGAAGACAGAATATACCGGGCGCATCTCAAAAGTGGCTCACCCCTATAACTTTTTTATTTTTTTAATTAAAAAACGAGATTTGGTATGTTAGTATATGACATAAATTAGAATTGATTGACGTATTCAATTGTTTTCGGTCACTTCCGGTTTCACCGGAAATTACTACAACTTTTGATTTTTAAATAACACCCCCGGTATTTTTTACTTTATTCGATAGAAAATGCCACTCTGAATAGAATGACATATCATATGTCAACTTTTGACATTGTCGCATATGGTTTATTTGAAATTATAACTTGCGGTTCGTAACGAAAATTTGACTCGAAATACCAAATGTGTGGTATCAAATTATTCGTAAAAAAATGCTTTTTCCAAATAAGCTAATGAGCCACCCTCGTTCCATTTGAAAAAATTGAGATATGATTAAAAATACGATTTGAACATTTTCTAATTGGCCAAGCCAAGACACTAAAAACATTAGACGATCAAATATTTTTTCCAAGGCTGCTTGATGAAAAATTAGGGTCTTTAACATAGCCATGGCACTCTAGATTGAATTTTAAAATACAATTTTTTATTAAGCGAGAATGTCAAAAGTTGACATATGATATTAGATCTATTCAGAATGTCATTTTCTATTGAATAAAGTAAAAAATACCGAGGGTGCCATTTAAAGATCAAAAGTTGTAGTCATTTCCGGTGAAACAGGAAGTGACTAAAAACAATTGAATACACTAATCAATCCGAATTTATATCATATACTAACATACCAAATCTCGTTTTTTTATCTGAAAAAATAAAAAAAGTTATAGGTGAGTAGTAGTATAGAGTATATGGTGAGCCACTTTTGAGACGCACCCGGTATAAAGAGTTCTGCAATAGTGCGTTGGGCATCTAGAGAGCATCTATAATAAAGAATATAGGATAACATTTAAATGAACACCTAAACTGTCTACTGGGACGTATTTCAGGAAAATATTGTTGCGGACCCGTGTGGGACTCGACCTAAACTAACTATATGTCCCGCCCCCAGATGACCTTAATATCGCATTAAAGAATGGATACCGTAATGATACATTCGACCGTTCGAGAACAATCGAGTTCCACTGGAATAGAGTAGTACATATGAGAACATTCGAAACCTTCTCTATGCACCTAATGATCTATGGATTATTCGAGAACTCTTTAGCTGTGGGTATAAAATCCGACGGCTGGGGCCTGAGGAGGACAGAAATAAATAGACGAGTACAGTTGTCGCGCTAAATTCAAAATAAATTCTTTCTAGATAAATAGTTATAAATAGTTTGTATATAGTTCTTTAAGTATTTTAATCGTTGTTGTTTGTTACTTAGTGTAAATAAATTGTGACTTTCTATCCACACGGAACCGACGAAAAACATAACAATAGGTTTACTTGTACAGGATTCTCAAAAAAGTGAATGGGCGGAGGCAACTTTTTTTAAATGGAACACCCTGTATATTTTTGAATGTTTGAATTCCTTCCTGATCACTTTACATAACCGTAGATTATTACTAGATTTCTTTCAATTGTTCATTGTCCCTGAGAAATAAATTAATAAATAAAAGAAGGTATATTTTGTACCATGTTTTCAAAAGTTTATTAAAAAAATATAAAATGGCGTCCAACTGAAATCAAAACAACGCCCGATATTTGCTACAGTTATTCTGTATTTAATATCTTAATTGTTAATTGTACAGGGTGTTCAAAATTTAAAGTCAAAATTATTAAAATAGAGGCCTCGATTTTTTTCAAATAAAACCTTGTCGAAACATTGAAAAATCTAATATTATTAGGTTGAAGTATTTTTTATTTATTATTTTATTACTTTGTTTTTCTTTTGTAATATGGCATTTATTTTTTTATTTCATTTATAATATGGCGCGCTCAGACGACTCATGTACTTGGCAAACATTTGTTATTGGTATATAGGGTTCGGCCTACCGCGTCGGGCATCTATTAGAGTTTCTAAGTTATTTGTATGCCAATCACAGTTATTTGCCAAGTACACGAGTCGTCAGAGCTTTAGAGTCTTAACACCTAGACCATAAATGATTAAAACACTTTTAAAGAAATATTTAAACGTGTTCATTTTTACAGTAATCTAATTATTTTAAACACGTTTAAAACGCTTGTTCAAAAAACACAAAAATTCTAAAATGTAGGCATCACAAAGGAGAAAAATAGTATTTTTCTCCTTTGTGATGCCTTCATTTTACAAAGTTTTGCAGTTTGCGTTGGGGGCCCTCAACGCGACAATTTATAATACATACGTCATCTTTTCTTACAACCTTCGGCATTCTCTGGTCAGTTTCCGTGGTTGTCGCGCTAAAGCTAGAGTTTTCTTCGGCATCGCCTTTAACCGTTGTCGTTTCTATCCAGGAGTTGTAGTAGCGTACGACATTCTCATGGTTCAATCGAGACAATAGCGTAACTTCTCTTACAATTTTCTTGCTTAATACCTTATTTTTGGGGTTCAGTCGGATTCGTTTAATAGCATAATAACCTCCATCTAACTTATTTCTAGCCTGAAAAGTTTCTAATATGAAAATTTAGATGTTTTTTAACCCTTAGCGGCTACAGAGAGGTCTGTTAGACACCTCGAACAAAGTTTTCCTCTATATTTCGCAAACGCAGAAAATTATAGTAGTGGTGAGGATGCATGTACCTTCAAGTCAATAGGCGCTGAATAAGTTAGTAAAGGAATAAACTCGTTAGTAACCGGAGTGCAGATTTATATAATGTAGAAATTCGAGAGGTATCTACCCGACCCCTGTGTAGCGATTGTGTAATATTTTTTTATGAATTGACTCTATCGTAAAGTTTAAGATATTATCTCGGATATTATCTTTGCTAGTTTTAGTACAAACATAAATAAAATTAGTTAGGTATATTAGTCTTCTAGTTAACGATAAGTTATACGAAAAAAAATATTTTCTTTTAAAAGCCGATCATTATTTTTTATTGTATCCTTGTTATACAGGGTGGTCCGAATTGTATTCCGGAAACTTCGGTAGCATATTCTGGAAATAAAAATAAGTAAAAAAGTTCGTATAAATGTATGTCCTAAAATGCTTAGTTTCGGAAAGACAGGGTGTAAAAGTTTCATTTTTATTTCGATTTTTTCCAAATAATTTATGAAGTAACGTCATTATTTGGATGAAAATTGGTGCCTGGGAGTTTTTTGATATTAGTAATTTGATTTTGATGTCAATATCACTCTTACTTATAGAGGGCGCCACCTACATATTTTTTAACTGGTTTGAAGAGTAATAACTTTTCGTCCGTACCTGTATAAAACTACTGAGTAAAAAAATATACATTTACGAAGTTTTTTACGTAAAAAATGTCTCTTGGTAAAAATCGCTACGAGTAATGGTTCTCGAGATATTTGGAATCGAAATTATCAATACCTATCATCATTGACATAAAAACATGTTGACTAAATACTTATTAGACTGAATTAAAGACATTAAAGACATAGTGGAACACGTAACTCGAATGAAATGGAGATGGGCAGGTTATGTGGCGAGAACATCTAAAGACAGGTGGACTAGAAGATTGTTAGAATGGCGACCTCGAGCAGATAAACGTAGCAGAGGCAGGCCACCGACACGCTGGACCGATGATGTAAAGAGGATTGCTGGAAATTGGATGATGACGGCCCAAAATCGAGAGACATGGAGAAATATGGAGGAGGCCTACGTTCAGCAGTGGACAACGATGGCTACATGATGATGATGATGAGACTGAAATCATAAATTTGAAATGTTTTTGTGCCAAAAGTTCAACAGAAACTGTTTTATCGTCATTTTTTCGCTGAAAAGTTTATGATTAATTTAAAAAAATAAAAATTTCCCAAATTTATTATTTCAGTCAAGTAACTTTCTACTCAACCGTGTTTATTTTTTGTCAATAATGACGTATTGACTATTTTCATTCTAAATATCTTGAGAACGGTTGTTCGTCGTGATTTTTACCAAGAGACATCTTTTACGTACAAAACTTCGTAAATGTATATTTTTTCACTCAATAGTTTTATACAGGTACGGACGAAAAGTTCAACATCTTCTCTCTTCAAAACAGTTAAAACACATGTAGGTGGCGCCCTCTACAAGTAGGAGTCATATTGACATCAAAATCAAATTTCTCATGTCAAAAAACTTCCAGACACCAATTTCCATCCAAATATGGACGTTATTTCATAATTTATTTGGAAAAAAATCGAAATATAAAAAATCGGTAAAAAAAACTTTTAAGTTAAACGGTTTTATCTTATGTGCACTGAAAACTAGAAAATAATAATAACAATTAGGTATTTTGAACTTCTAGTTCAGAAATATTTTAGTACTAGGCAGAATAGCTTTTAGGCATATTAGACTAAAATAAAAACGTGGGGCCCATTAACTATTGCTGTAATACTTTCTTCTATACTAAGTGTGGATTGCATCGACTTACTATAATCGTAACTGGAGATTTTGACAATCAATAACCAGCCGTGGCGGCTTCACCAACGAACGCCGAGCTCATGATCTACCAAAGTATAAAGATATGCTTTGCCATAGGTAGGATTTCAGAGGGGCCCACGTTTTTATTTTAGTCTAATATGCCTAAAAGCTATTCTGCCTAGTACTAAAATATTTCTGAACTAGAAGTTCAAAATACCTAATTGTTATTATTTTCTAGTTTTCAGTGCACATAAGATAAAACCGTTTAACTTAAAAGTTTTTTACCGATTTTTGTTTTCTAGTTTTAGTATTTAACGGAAATGCCTACCGAATATTCCTCATTCTATTTAATTCATTTAGTGCATCATTATTACATGGTTTTTTACCTGATAATTTATTACAATCTAATTCCTCAATACATAGCCCTTCCAGAGACTTGACTCGACTTAGAGCCACGTATGCTTGCCCTTCCTCAAACAATTTTGAGCCCAAATACACTACTGCATGGTCGACTGTGCTGCCCTGCATTTTATGGACGACCCCCCAGAGGTCCAGTAGAGGGGCAAGGCTATAATATACAACAAACGCCCAATCTTGAGGGGAAAACGCTTGCGACATTACATTTTTAGCCACCCTAATGCCATACAGTCCTCAGCACGTTTTAACCTATTACCTTAACTTGGGTGGTAAAGCTACCGCTAACTACGTAGGTACATCTAATCACCTATTTTTTTTATCTGTCCTTCTAACGTCACACAATCTTGGACACAACTGTTCTGGACACGACTACTCATGCCCTCACCTAATACGCCATTTTGTAACGACGTCCATCTTGGATTTTAAATTTTGTCATAATCACAGTATTCTACTAGTGTAGCCCTTTCATTTGATACCCATATTGAGGGGGTTGTGGAAAAATATGAAATCCGCCTTTTGTACCGGCGGCCATCTAAGATTTACAATGTTATTGATATTACTATATTGTATTGTCATCGGAACTAAAGGTGTGTACCAAATTTCAGATCAATCTGACAACAGGAAGGTACTTAAATTTCAATTTCTAATTTTGACCCAAACAAATAAATAAATACCGTACGGGTCGAGCTAAATAAAACCGTTTAAAAAATGAAACTTCTACACCCTGTATCTCGGAAAGTAAGCATTTTAGGACATACATTTATACGAACTTTTTTACTTATTTTTATCTGCAAGATGTGCTGCCGAAGTTTCCGGAATACAGTTCGGACCACCCTGTATATGAGCTCATATCTTTAATATGAGTTTTAAATAAGTGCAAATATTTTTAGGGGTAGTATATTTCGACCTCAGGAACACAACTATGAATTTTTTTTTTGAAATTTTAGATTTTTTTTTAGTTTTTAGTTAAAAAACATCATTTCTTGATAATATGGTAACATAGGTAGTAGATTAAATTTAAAAGAAAGAAACCCAGAAAAGATCCAGTGGTTCTCAAAATTTTAGCAAAAAACAAGTAAAATAGCTCGGTTATTTTGGATTTATTTGAAAAACGGTAAAGAGAAAATATGTTTCTTATCGGGATCTACTAACCCTGAAAATATTTGCACTTATTTAAGACTCACCCTGTATAAATATCTTTTTTAATACGTTAACAAATGCTTTACAGTTTTGATTTCGTTGTCGGGTTTTTGAACTTTTGTCACCCTTATTTTGGCAATTATGTTGGCACTTATATTTTTCTCCAAAAAAGTGTCTTTTGCTGTCGGGAAATTTGTGACGAAATATAGGAAATTTGCTAAATACAATCCAGTTCGTCTTAGTGGCCTTGGAAAAATTTCATATCCATTTTTTTACATGCTTCTAATAGTCAATTGACTCAAATTTTGTATGAACATCGACTATATAAAACATTCACGGCTTTTAAATTCAGTTATTTTTATTTTGCAACTTGATCAAATTCAAAAAACGTACCTATTAATTTCACTCATTTTGAATCTCAATAATGGAAGTAATATAGGATATGGTTCACCTTCTTTCAGTAATATAGGATATGGTTCACTTTCAAAACAAGACAAATACTACTACCGATACTATGAACGTTTAACACTGCGCGCTGAATCCGCTTACGATTGGTAAATTGTACGATCGGGCGTCTTCGGCAAATCGGACCACTGCGCTGGCACTGCGCTGAATGTGGATAGGATCGGTAAAAATGCGTCCCGGATCAAAAGAACTGGGAGGAACTAAAGGAACTAATTAAAAGACTAGTTCACAGACAGATCGGCCAGCGCGATAATAAACCGAAGCTAACCGGGAGTGTGGAGTTCCAGCTGTATGTTATCGGTCAAAATTATACAGATCATACTATGAATAGTTCTGATTTATATCGAAACCCGTGAGCAAGCAATGGGGATGTCAATGTTAGTCGGAAACTAATGTCCACTAAAGATCTAATGAACTATTCCTCTGGAGGGTCTAGAACTAAGGAACTACTTCCTCCCAAGGAACTAGAATTCCCATGTCTAATGACGATTATTTTCAAATGACCAAAGTTATTAAAATACCTTGAAAATGGAATGTCTGGATTTTTTAAACGTCTGGCTAGAGCTGTTACAAACTCCGCTGAAGGAAAGAGATTGCTTTACCAAAAAAAAATCCAAGATAACTTATTACAGGTTGAATATTGGAAGACGCCATCGTATGCGAAACAACAGCTGAAAAGCACCACCTAGAAATGAGACATCTTTGCTCTAGGCGTCCTTATAGGCTTGGTGCAATCTCCGCCGGTGCTGCCACCATCGGAGAATATAGTAACAATCTATATATACAAATACACAGGTTTAAATAGCGACTATACGAAAAATTTATTATTTAATTATTCCAAAAGTGTTAGGAAGTATAATTTGTAAAAATTCTAAAAATAAAAATAAAAAAGTAATTTTTTTGATATCTGCTGCAAAAGGTCTAACTTGTATTGTAATTTATTATTCCAGTTAAAAACACATTTTAGATGAGTTCAAATGGTACATAATTATAATATTAGAAGATGTTCATGAAACATTTAATCTAGTTGATTAAAAAAAGTATACCATTAATATTGC